GGTAAATCTTTCTCCATCCCTTTGTTTTGAGTCTTTGTGTATCCTTGCATGTGAAACAGGTCTGGATGTAACATGCCGTTGGGTTTTGGCTGTGTCTTTTGATTGGGAATTTAGTCAATTTAAATTTAGGGTTACTGCCATTTGATGTTGACTGGCTGTTTTATCCATTTGTTGGTGTAAATTCTTCTTTATGTTGGTGCTCTTTACTTTTTGGTGTATTTTTAGAAAGGCTAATACTGGTTGTTTCTTTCTGTGTGTAATGCTTCTTTCAGAAGCTCTTGTAAAGCAGGCCTGGTGGTAATAAAATCTCTGAGTTCTTGCTTGTTCATAAAAGATTTTATTTTTCCTTCAGTTGTGAAGCTTAGTTTGGCTGGATATGAAATTCTGGGCTGAAGGTTCTGTTCTTTGAGGATGTTGAATATTGGCCCCCACTCTCTTCTGGCCTGTAGAGTTTCTGCCGAGAGATCTGCTGTAAGTCTGATAGGCTTGCCTTTGTGGGTTATCTGACCTTTCTCTCTGGCTGCCCTTAGTATCCTCTCCTTCGTTTCAACCCTGGTGAATCTAACGATTATGTGCCTTGGGGTTGCTCTTCTTGAGGAATATCTTTGTGGTGTTCTCTGTATTACCTGAATGTTGACCTGCTTTGCTAGTTTAGGAAAATTTTCCTGAATAATATCCTGAAGGGTATTTTCCAGCTTGGATTCATTCTCTCCGTCGCATTCAGGTACACCTATCAAACGTAAATTTGGTCTTTTCACATAGTCCCACATTTCTTGGAGACTTTGCTCATTCCTTTTTATCCTTTTTTCTCTAATCTTTTCTTCACATTTTATTTCATTAAGTTGGACTTTGACCTCTGATATCCCTTCTTCTGCTTGAACAATTCGAGTGTTTAAACCTGTGCATACTTCTCGGAGTTCCTGTATTGTATTCTTCAGTTCCATTAATTCACTCATACTCCTCTCTAAGTTGTCTATTCTCAATAGGATTTCATCAAACCTTTTTTTCAAAGTTCCTAGTTTCTCTACATTGGGCTACAACATGTTCTTTTAACTCACCGAAGTTTGTTATTATCCATTCCTTGAAGAGTGATTCTGTCATCAGGAGGCGCTCGTTCTCCATCAAGCCTTGTTCCATTGTTGATGTGGAACTGTGATCATCTTTAGAGGGGGAGGCGTTCTGACTTTGAGTATTCTCAGCTTTTTTACGCTGGTTTCTTCCCGTCATTGTAAATTTATCCTCCTGTTGTCTTTGAAGTTACCAACTTTCAGATTAGGTCTCTTGAGTGGACGTCCAGGTTGTTAGTTCCCAGGGCCAGAGCAGCGGCGTTAAAACTGATGGTGCTTTTCTGCCCAGGATTCTCCTGTCGGGCTTCCTTTCTGTGTCCGTAGTAGGCGACTCTGCCTTCCCGGGGCTCCAAACCTCGGTCAGAAGGGGAACCGGTCTCGTTTACTCTGCGCCGAGCGCTGCCGTGCCGAGGTGCCGGCAGAACCGCTGCACCGACCACGAGGGTCGCGCTGGCGACTCGTGTGTTTCCACTACTGGGGGATCTTCTGCTCCGTGAGCGACCAGACTTTGTCTGAAAGTGTGGCATCCTCTAGTTCTCCGCGCCTTCCCTGAGAGCTGCAATCCTGGGATGTTAGCGATCGGCCATCTTGGATCGTTCTCTATATACAGGATTCTCTATTCACAAAACCATGCATGCTTCATTTAACAAATAATTTAAGGAATTTTCAGGCATATTTTTAACCATATACATTTGTGCTGATTTTAGGTTCTGCCTGACCCCCTTAAGGTTCAACTGCTCTCTGTAAGAGAGTAGGGACTGATATAAAGAAGGGAGTGGTCAGCTCTGCTGAAGGGGAGATGGGTAAGAAAAGCTTCATGGAGGCCGGGTGCAGTGGCTCACCCCTGTAATCCCAGCACTTTGGGAGGCTGCGGCGGGCAGATCACGAGGTCAAGATCGAGACCATCCTGGTCAACATGGTGAAACCCCATCTCTACTAAAATACAAAACAATTAGCTGGGTGTGGTGGTGTGCGCCTGTAGTCCCAGCTACTTAGGAGGCTGAGGCAGGGGAATCGCTTGAACCCAGGTGTAGAGGATGCCGTGAACTGAGATTGTTCTGCTGCACTACAGCCTAGGCAACTGAGCAAGACTCTCTGTCTCAATAAAAAAAAAGAAAAGCTTCATGGAGGCATGGCATGTGAATTGCATCTTATTTCTTTTTTTTTTTTTTTGAGACGGAGTTTCGCTCTTGTTACCCAGGCTGGAGTGCAATGGCATGATCTCGGCTCACCGCAACCTCCGCCTCCTGGGTTCAGGCAATTCTCCTGCCTCAGCCTCTTGAGTAGCTGGGATTACAGGCACGTGCCACCATGTGCAGCTAATTTTTTGTATTTTTAGTAGAGACGGGGTTTCACCATGTTGACCAGGATGGTCTCCATCTCTTGACCTCGTGATCCACCCACCTCAGCCTCCCAAAGTGCTGGGATTACAGGCTTGAGCCACCGCGCCCAGCGAGTTGCATCATTTTAAAGTGAGGGTTAGCCAGTGTAATGAAGAAGGAAAGGGAATTCAGGTTAAAGAGAATTATATGCAAAGGCGTAGGGATTCAGAGTTGTCACAGGTTTCGAGGGTTGCAAATAAGATGGCATGGGCCAAGTGTAATGGCTTCACGCCTGTAATTCCAACACTTTGGGAGGCAAAGGTGGGTCCCAAAGGAGGATCACTCAAGGCCAGGCAACAGGGGCTCTGAGAGTGACAGGCCCAAGGTCCTTCTCCCGGGATGGGTTGGAAGAAGTGTTCAAACCTTGGTTTTGCTGGTGTAGAATCTCAATTTCTGACTTTGGAGTCATTTTGAACAGCCATGGCTTCCTAACATAGCCAACCTAGCCATGGGCAACCCTTGTCTACTTGTCAAACCCCAGACCCAGACATTGTCAAGATTTGAACCCCTGGGTCTGGATCCAGAGCATGTGCCATAACACAGCATTGGAAGATTAGCACTGTCCAGTCCTTTGATCCTCAGCAGTGTGTGGAAGAGGAAAATAGCGGAGCATTTGAGTCTGGATGTTTCTGGAGGCTTCTCATACTCAATCCCTGTAATTATGTGGAAGAGAGGGATGGACATGGTTGGAGGGTAGGCATTAGCGGAGGTCAGATCCTGCCCAGACCAGCTCCCCATCCTCTGCCTATGCTATCAGCCTTGACACACCCTTCCTCAGCACACTGGGCATCCAGGAGAAGTACCTGGCACCCTCGGACCAGTCGGTGGAGCAGGAAGCCATGCAGCTATAGCAACAAGGTGGACTCTGGAGAGCAGGATGCATAACCCAGCACTGGGAAAGTGGAAGCTCCTGGCTGCAGAAAGTACAGGCTGCAGACCCAAGAGCAAGTCCTCCCAGCCAGAGCTGGCGGGTTGGCAAGGGGACGCTCAGCTCTGCAAAGGACTTCTGGCCAAAAGCCAGACATGGGACCAAGCAGAACACCCACCTTGCTGTCAGTGGTGTCCGTGAGCTCTGGGACCTGCCACCAGAAAGTTGAGCACTGGTCCAACTCAGGCTGTGATGGAATGCGCTATAATACAGGAGTCTTTTCTACTTTTTGTGACTTCCAAACTTTTCTTGAATCCTCCAGGCCCTTGGGTAAGAATGAGGGAATGTTACCTTCCCTTGGAATAATCAGTATTTCCCCAAAGCATAGGATTCATCATAGTAGAGGATTCACATTCAGTCTCCAGTCATGTGTTTTTATTGATCTTCAGTTTTTGGCTTTGAGGTTTGTTTGTTTTTTAAAAGATGGGGTCTCGCTATATGGCCCAGGACAGACTCAAACTCCTGGGCTCAAGTGATCCTCCCACCTCAGCCTCCTTAGTAGCTGGGACTACAGATGCAAGCCACCAGGTCCCCAAATCTTCAGTTTTATCAGAGTCTCAAGTTTCAGCTTTCACAGACAACACTTCCCAGCTAGACCTTTATTAATGTTTTATATTCATTGTATTTGTTTTAGGGTTTTATTCTATTTTTGGCAAGTGTTAACTAGTTTTCCATTTACAGTAGTGACTAAAAGTTTACAAAAATGAAATACAAGGCTGGCTGCACTGACTCACGCCTGTAAGCCCAACACTTTGGGAGGCCAAGGCAGGCAGATTACTTGAGGCCAGGAGTTCGAGACCAGCCTGACCAACGTGGTGAAACCCATCTCTATCAAAAAATACAAAAATTAGCTGGGTGCAGTACCTGCAGTACTAGCTACTCGGGAGGCTAAGACAGGAGCATCACTTGAACCCGGTAGGCGGACCACCTGAAGTGAGGAGATCAAGACCAGCCTGGCCAACATAGTGAAATCCACACCTCTACTAAAAAAGCAAAATTAGCTGGGCGTAGTGGTGCACGCCTAGAATCCCAGCTACTAGGGAGGCTGAGTCAGGAGAATTGCTTGAATCTGTGAGGTGGAGGTTGCAGTGAGCCAAACTGTGCCCCTATACTTCAGCCTGGGCGATGGAGCAAGACTCCGTCTCAAAAAAAATAAGTTCTGTAAAGAAAAATGTTAATATAATTTGGCAGTTGCTATGGAAGTATGGCAAAAATTAAGAGGGATTGAAGTTTTCTTTGCTCTTCTTGCAGCTGGTTGGAGTCTGTTTATATTTCAACCAGTAGGTGGCGCCCCAGCCTTATTTTTTGCAGTTGTCACTTGGCAGAAGGAGCAGGACTGATGGCCTGGGAAAGACTGTTACGCCAAGTCTTATATGCATACATTTGAAGTTTTTTGTTTTTGAGACAGTCTCACTCTGTCGTCCAGGCCAGAGTGCAGTAGCACAGTCTTGGCTCACTGCAACCTCCGCCTCCAGGGTTCAAGCGATTCTCCTGCTTCAGCCTCCTGAGTAGCTGGGACTACAGGTGCATACTACCATACCCGTCTAATTTTTTGTACTTTTAGTAGAGATAGGGTTTCACCATGTTAGCCAGGATGGTCTTGATCTCCTGACGTCATGATCTGCCAGCCTCTGCTTTCCAAAATGCTGGGATTACAGGCATAAACCACCATGCCCAGCCTGCATTTGGACTTTTTTTTTTTTTTTTGAGATGGAGTCTCACTCTGTCTCCCAGGCTGGGGCTCAACAGCACAATCTTGGCTCACCACAATCTTTGCCTCCCAGGTTCAAGCAATTCTTCTGCCTCAGCCTCCCAAGTAGCTGGGATTATAGGTGCCTGCCACCACACCCAGCTAATTTCTGTATTTTTAGTAGAGACAGGGTTTCACCATCTTGGCCAGGATGGTCTCCATCTCTTGACCTCATGATCTCCCTGCCTCAGCCTCCCAAAGTGCTGGGATTACAGACATGAGCCACCGCCCCAGCTGGACTTTTTTTTTGAGATGGAGTTTCACTCTTCTTTCCCAGGCTGGAGTACAATGGCATGATCTCGGCTCACCACACCCTCCGCCTCCCAGCTTCAAGTGATTCTCCTGCCTCAATCTCCAGAGTAGCTGGGATTACAGGCATGTGCCACCATGCCCTGCTAATTTTGTATTTTTAGTAGAGTTGGGGTTTCTCCATGTTGGTCAGGCTGGTCTTGAATTCCCGACCACAGGTGATCCGTCCGCCTCGGCCTCCTAAAGTGCTGGGATTATAGGCATGAGCCAGCATGTCCAGCCTGGACTTTTTAACACATATGAAGTTGTTGGTTTTTTGGAGTGCTTCCACATACATAATCCTCATTAGAGATGGACAAGATGGGGAAAATTAATAAGCCATTACCCACGCTACAGTGAGAAAGTAGAAAGATGAGGGGTTTGAACTTCGGTCAGCCTGGCTCTCTCATAACCCATTTGCTGACTACATTGTGAGTGTCCCTCCTTTGGTATACTTATTGGTGAAAAGTCACAGCCCTTGTCCCACAGGTTTTGCAACCAATCAGGAGAAGGAAACAAGGCACCTATAAAGTACTACTCAATCATAGTTCACCGGTGGTATGGGCAGCTGGCAAATTCATTTTAGTGACATCTGTTCTGAAACAGCATTGAAATAGGACTGTGCTTTGCTTTCTGCTTTTGGCAGCCAGAGCCAAAGGCAGATGAATGAAAGACTTTGAGGAGGCTACTTTGGCTGGAACAGTATGAAAGCAACCTCAACTCCCACGCCTGGCTCCGTAGGATCTAATAACTGGGTGCTGCTTCCCAGCCTCTTTCATCTGAGAAGTTCAAAGTACCTCACCCCTATTAACACCCCACAGAGTAGGTAGGAAGTACTAGTAGAGCATGCCAGGGAAACTGAGGCCAGGAGGCATAGCCTGGGGCTAGCTGTGAATCACCTGTGGGTCCTGGAGCCCAGGAATCCTGACGCCCAGGCTACTGGACAAATCCTTCATCAGGGCATGAGGGTGGGTGCTGTGCTTTTGAAAACAGTACCAATGGCTATGGCCATGGGTTTTAACGCTTGCCCATCACGGAGGCCCCGGCTATCACCAAAACAAGCCAGACACTGAAGGCATCCTTTACAACTTTATGACCTCATACACAAACACCTTCAGCATTTATTTTCTGCAGCCATGGAGTAGAGATGGGTGGAAATAATCCAAAGCCTTTATTTTCAGGCCATGGTTTGACACCAAGGGTATTTTCTTCCCTAATAAATGTAGCTTCTTTCTACCTTCCACTGGCAGCAAAATGATTTTCTGTTCTCTGCATATCCTGAGGGGATGGAGAAGAGACAGCACAATGCAGGAAGGAAGATGTCTGGGCTCCAACTGAGGCCTGTTCGGTGTGAAATGTCTAAGGTAGAAGAAAGACCATTCTCCAGTATGGCTGGCATGTGGCAGTCATCTGAAGATTTTTATTTTGAGATGGAGTTTTGCTCTTGTTGCCCAGGCTGTAGTGCAATGGCACATTCTCAACACACCGCAACCTCCGCCTCCTGGGTTCAAGCAATTCTCCTGTCTCAGCCTTCTAGATAGCTGAGATTACAGTCATGTGCCACCACATCTGGCTAATTTTTTGTATTTTTAGTAGAGACGGGGTTTCCCCGTGTTGGTCAGGATGGTTTCAAACTCTTGACCTCATGATCCACCCACTTCAGCCTCCCAAAGTGCTGGGATTACAGGCGTGAGCCATTGCACCCAGCCTATTTTTTCATTTCCTAATAAATATAGGAAAGTAAAAAACTTAGAAAATGAAAAGAGAAGGCCAGGCACTGTCACTCACGCCTGTAATCTTGGGGCTTTGGGTGGCCAAGGTGGGCAGATCACCTGAGGTCAGGGGTTCAAGACAAGCTTGGCCAACATGGCAAAAACCCGTCTCTACTAAAAATACAAAAAAGTTAGCAGAGCATGGTGGCACACACCTATAATTCTGGCTACTCAGGAGGCTGAGGCAGGAGAATCACTTGAACCCGGGAAGTGGGAGGTTTCAATGAGCTGAGATTGTGCCATTCATTGCACTGCAGCCTGGGCAACAAGAATGAAAGTCTGTCTCAAATCAAAAAAAAAAAAAAAATGAGAAAATGAGTCACCCAGAATCCCATAACAGAAACTTTTATGCAGTCATCTGTTTAAAAGAAAAATAAAATTTATATTCAAATGTATATTTTGTGTATTTTTTGTCTCACTTCTGTAGACACCTGGAGATATTTTGTGTATTCTTTCAGTCTTTTTCTTTTTTTTTGAGACAGAGTTTCACTCTTGTTACCCAGGCTGGAGTGCAATGGTGCGATCTCGGCTCACCACATCCTCCGCCTCCTGGGTTCAGGCAATTCTCCCGCCTCAGCCTCCTGAGTAGCTGGGATTACAGGCACACACCACCATGTCCAACTAATTTTTTGTATTTTTAGTAGAGACGGGGTTTCACCATGTTGACCAGGATGGTCTCGATCTCTTGACCTCGTGATCCACCCACCTGGGCCTCCCAAAGTGCTGGGATTACAGGCTTGAGCCACCACACCCGGCCCAGTCTTATTTTTGTGTACCTAGGGGTGGATATTGCATTTATATAAGTGAAATATTTTATAATTGTGTCGTATCCTGCCCTTTTCAGTTTATACCATTCCATGTAATAAATAGAATTCCTATAATTTCAGCACATTGGGAGGCTGAAGTGGGAGGATTGCTCGAGCCAGGAGTTGGAGGCTGCAGTAAGCTATGATTGTGCCACTGCACTCTAGCCTGGGCAACAGGGTGAGACCCTGTCTCAATCAAGTAAATAACCTTTTATTTATTATTTTTCCTCTTTTTTTTTTTAATTTTAACAGGCAGGGGAAGTAAATAACCTTTCTAATGTTACCATGGTAATAGTCCATGGTTCGGCTATAACATTGTTCACCTATCCATACTCCCATGATTAGCCTACTACTAGGCTACAAGTCGTCACCAATTTGCACTTTTGTAAATAGTGTGGTGATTAACATCCTCGTACCCAAATCATTGTCTGAGTCTGAATTTAACTTAGGAGATAGTCCTAGAAGTGAAATAACTGACACGTTCCAGGTTCTGGATTCATGTGGCCAAAATGCTTTCCAAAAACGGTTCCACTTTACATCTCACTGAAATCGTTCTCATCTCCAGACCTCACTTGACAACTTTTTTTTTCTTGACAATTCTATGCAACACCTGGAGGGAGGAAACCCCCTCTGAATGCCTTAGAAGGGACCTTCCTGGTCCTCCTTACTAACCACCGACATAGGTTATATGCATTTCTTGGCTGTGAATTGGGGACCTCAACAATTATAAGATAGTGTAGAATTGAGAGAACTTAGCAGGGACCATAGGTAATTGGAAAGGTTTCCAGCCTGACAGAGGCTTAGGAGTGAGGGTGAGTCCCTAAAGCCCACAGAGCTGAAGCTCATCCAGTCTGCCTGGATTAGCAAAACACTCACCCGCTGGTGGCTGAGAATATAGGAAGTATGGTCCCATTAGGAGCTGTGGGAAAGAGAAAGGGAAGGTTGATTTGAAGAATTATCTGTCCCTTGTCTCAAGAATCCCTAGTCGGGAGGGGAGTGGCTTCAGACCCACCCAAGCACTATTAAGACCCACGCCAATTTTGAAAGTAGTGAAAAGGCCCAATTATCCCAGAATCCTGGAGGGAATTTTTTTTTTTTTTTTTGAGACAGAGTCTTGAGCAATCTCGGCTCACGGCAACATCCACCTCCTGGGTTCAAGTGATTCTTCCACCTCAGCCTCCTGAGTAGCTGGGACCACAGGCGAGTGCCACCATGCCTGGCTAATTTTTGTATTTTTAGTAGAGACGGGGTTTCACCATGTTGGCCAGGATAGTCTCAATCTCTTGACCTCATAATCTGCCCACCTCGGCCTCTCAAAGTGCTGGGATTACAGGCGTGAGCCACCGCGCCCAGCCGGGAAATTCTCTAGCAAAACACTAGTCCCCTCCTCTCTCTCTTCTCTTGTCTCTGGCTTTTGAGCCTTTACTTACCCAGCCTGATCTGGGCTGTTCACTCTCTTTTCTTGTCCCATTTAGAAGGAGGTGCAGCACATACCTCCATTGCATCAGGCCTGCCAAAGACAGGGAAAGCCATGTGCCTCATTTCAAGCCCACTGTGACCTTGTCTGGCTAGGGATCTAAATCCAGGCAGCCCGAGAAGCCCAGGTGGGCTAAGACAGGGGCCATGAAGGGATGGGGTGGGGATTTAGAAGCCAATTGAGGTGGAAAAGGACACTATTGGTGTAAAATGCTCTGGATGAGAATACACAGCAAGGGTCTTTTTTTTTTTTCTCCTCATTCTAAAACTCTGAAGCAGTTGTGGAGGAGGAACATGAGAGGCCCCTTCACAGCCATCACAGCCATGCCAAATAAACATGAAATCTTTTTTTTTTTGCCGAGCGTGGTGGCTCACGCCTGTAATCCAAGCACTTTGGAGGCCAAGGCGGGTGGATCATCTGAGGTCGGGAGTTCAAGACCAGCCTGACCAACATGGTGAAACTCCGTCTTAAAAAAGAAAAAAAAAAAAAATGTTGAGATAGGATCTCACAGTCTCACCCAGGCTCACTGCAACCTTCACCTTCTGGACTCAAGCCATTTCCCACCTCAGCCTGCTGAGTAGCTGGGACTATAGGCCCATGCCACCATGCCTGGCTAATTTTTGTATTTTTTGTAGAGATGGGGTTTCGCTGTCTTGCCCAGGCTGGTCTCGAATTTTTGAGCTCAAGCTATCCTCCTGCCTTGGCCTCCCAGAGTGCTGGAATTATAAGCATGGGCACCCGGCCAAATGTGAAGTCTAACACAGTGTGCTTGCCATGTAAATTTAGCTTCCTGGAATGTCCTCTAGTGCCTCCCTTTGCACTGAATTGTCACCTCCAAGTTCTTCCTGTATATTAATCCCGGAGCCCACATTGCTTTGTGGAGTCAGAAGCAGCAAAGAATGGAGATTGGGACATGGGTTAAGATTTTTCTCAACTTTAGCCAGGCATGGTGGCTCAGGCCTGTAATCCCAGTACTTTGGGAGGCTGAGGCGGGTGGATCACGAGGTCAGGAGATTGAGACCATCCTGGTCAACATGGTGAAACCCCATCTCTACTAAAATACAAAAAAATTAGCCGAGCATGGTGGCGTGCACCTGTAGTCCCAGCTACTCAGGAGGCTGAGGCAGGGGAATCGCTTGAACCTGGGAGGCAGAGGATGCCTTGAGCCGAGATCGTGCCACTGCACTATAGCATGGGTGACAGAGCAAGACTTTATCTCAAATAAATAAATAAATAAAAATTTCTCAACTCATAAATCATACAATCTCAGTAATCTCAGAGGTCACATAATTTTTTTTTTCCAAGATGAAGTCTCACTCTGTTGCCAGGCTGGAATGCAGTGATGTGATCTCGGCTCACTGCAATCTCTACCACCTGGGTTCGAGCAATTCCCTGCCTCAGCCTCCTGAGTAGCTGGGACTACAGGCATGCACCACCACGCCTGGCTAATTTTTAGTATTTTAGTAGAGACAGGGTTTCACTATGTTGGCCAGGATGGTCTCGATCTCCTGACCTCGTGATCTGCCCTCCTCAGCCTCCCAAAGTGCTGGGATTACAGGTGTAAACCACAGTGCCCAGCATTTTTTTGTTTTTTTAATAGAGGTGGGGTCTCGCTATGTTACCCAGGCTGGTCTCAAATTCCTGGGCTCTAGCAACTGCCTACCTCGGCCTCCCAAAGTGCTGGGATTACAGGTGTGACCCACCTCACCTGGTTACATAATATTTTTTGGAGCTAAAAGTCACTGGAAATCTCAGATTAGCTTTACTCTAGAGGAGAAAAGGTAGAAAATGTCTCCCTGCCTTTTTTCTTTCAATAAATATTTATTGAATACCATAATATGTATTCAATGCTGTACCTAGCCACTGATTTGAAGACTTGATGCTTTTCAGTCCTGGATTTCACTCTTTTATTTCTAGACAAAGGATTAAATTTTCCAGAGAGCTGTGAGGAGAAGATCGGGTGGAAATAAGAGATGAGTCAGCCTCTGACACCCCCAGGGTGACATACCTGTCTGCTGCCCCCACAGACATTCCTGGCTCCTGACTCAGAGGGTAGGTGGGTCTAGGGGGTTCTGAGGGGTGGAGGACCTTCCTTGCAGAAACCTGCCTTTTCCACTCCCCACATAGCAGGGATGGGGTGGACCCTGTGAACAGGGTGAAGAATTTAAAGGAACTAAGAGTGGAATCAGGTAAAGAAAACCTAAACTTGGTGAGTGAGCCTGGAAATCGGTCCAGTTCAGTCTTTTCTTAAGACAATTATTTTCTGCCAGAACTAGGGTGGAGTTAGAGGAGAGTAAGAAGAAGGCTTTTTTTAAATTTTAATTGTATTTATTTATTTTTTGGAGACAGAGTCTTGCTCTGTTGCCCAGGCTGGAGTGCAGTGGTGCAATCTCAGCTCACTGCAACCTCCGCCTCCTGGTTCAAGTGAGTCCCCTGTCTCAGCTTCCTGAGTAGCTGGCACTATAGGTGTGCACCACGACACCTTGCTAATTTTTGTATTTTTAGTAGAGACAAGGTTTTACCATGTGGCTAGGCTGGTCTCAAACTCCTGATCTCAAGTGATACGCCCACCTTGGCCTCCCAAAGTGCTGCGATTACAGGCATAAGCCACCACACCCAGCCAGAAGAAGACTTTCTTGATTCTCACAAAGTCTAAGATAGTAGCAGGGCAGCATAGGATAATGTAGCACTTTTTTTTCCCCTTTCATTCTTTTTTTTTTTTATACATAGTCTTGCTCTTGTTGCCGAGGCTGGAGTGCAATGGCACAATCTCAGCTAACTGCAACCTCCACCTCTCGGGTTCAAGTAGTTCTCCTGTCTCAGCCTCCTAAGTAGCTGGGATTATAGGCACCCACCACCACTTTTTTGAGACGGAGTTTCACTCTTGTTGCCTAGGCTAGAGTGCAATGGCGTGATCTCGGCTCACCACAATGCTCTGCCTCCCAGGGTCAAGGGATTCTCCTGCCTTAGTCTCCTGAGTAGCTGGGACTACAGGCATGTGCCACCACACCTGGCTAATTTTGTATTTTTAGTAGAGACAGGGTTTCTCCATGTTGGTCAGGCTGGTCTTGAACTCTTGACCTCAGGTGATCCACCCACCTCAGCCTCCCAAAGTGCTGGGATTACCAGTGTAAGCCACTGCATCTGGCAGGCATTTTTTGTATTTTTTAGTAAAGATGGAGTTTCACCATGCTGGCCAAGCTGGTCTCAAACTGATTGACCTCAGGTGATCCACCAGCCTTGGCCTCCCAAAGTTCTGGGATTACAGGCGTGAGCCACTGAACCTGGCCAAATGTAATATTTTTAAACTTGTAGAACTCTGATATACAAAACTGACACGTGTGGCTGTTTTAGGCAAGATATATGGAAAGAGGAAATTTTGACCCCTTGGCTCCTGCCCCATGGCAGCTTCTGGGAAACCTTCTGAACGCAGTTTGAAAACAACTATTGTAGTTTAAAAATCATGAGACTGGCTGGGCACAGTGGCTCACACCTGTAATCCCAGCACTTCGGGAGGCCGAGGTGGCTGGATCACCTAAGGTCAGGAGTTTGAGACCAGCCTGACCAATATGGTGAAACCCCATATCTACCAAAAAAAAAAAAACCACACACACACACACACACACACACACACACACACGTGTCTATATCTCTCACACAAAAATTAGCCGGGCATGGTGGCACATGCCTATAATCCCAGGTACTTGGGAGGCTGAGACAAGAGAATCACTTGAACCTTGGAGGTGAAGGTTGCAGTGAGCCAAGATCTCGCCACTGCACTCCAGCCTCAGTGACAGAGCAACTCTGTCTCAAAAAAAAAAAAAAAAATCGTGGGGCTTAGAGTCAGACCCTGTTCCACTCCCAGCACATGAGTAGTTATATAACCTTGATTATTAGGTTATTTGGCTGCTCTGAGCTTCAGTCTTCATTTGTAAAACAAAAGTAATAACATGTATTACTCTGAGGATTAAGGTATGAAAGTGCCCGGCACATGCTTGTCATCTTGCCCCTGCTGATCTGCTGATACTGTAGTCTGTTCTCTAGGAAGAAGCAGAAATGGGATACTGTTGGTCAGAAGAGCAAACCTTGATGCAAGCCTCTGGACATCTGGACGCTGTGTGTGTGTGTAAAATGGAGACGGGGGAATGTACCTTGCTTTTCTGGAAGGAGCCACAGAACTAGCCTTGATGCAAGCCTCTGGATATCGTGTGTGTGAGTGTGTGTGTGTGTGTGTGTGTGAGAGAGAGAGTGGAGAGAGAGAGAGAGAGAGAGAGAGAGAGAGAGAGAGAGAGAGAGAGAGAGAGAGATGGAGGCAAGGAAGAATACCTTGCTTTTCTGGAAGGAGGCACAGTGGCCTTGGCTTTGCTGGGGTTCCTGGCTGGTTCTGAGAAAGTAGTCTTGGCCTCCATCACCTACTCCTGTGGATTCTACAGAGGCATTTGGATTTGGCCTTCTGAACTATACATAACAGAGGGAAGAGTAGATAGCTGTACTAGATAACTTTAGGTTGCACATTTTCTCCATACCACTCAAAATCTTGCGAAAAGATATTTGCCAGCACTGGGAGGTAATCTGGCAATATAGAAAAGATAGAGCTGGCTGGGCACAGTGGCTCATGCCAGTAGTCCCAGCACTTTGGTCAGGCTGGTCTTGAACTCTTGACCTCAGGTGATCCAAGGCAGGTGGATCACCTGAGGTCAAGAGTTCAAGACCAGCCTGACCAACATGGAGAAACCCCGTCTCTACTAAAAAATACAAAATTAGCCAGGCATGGTGGTGTATGCCTGTAATCCCGGCTACTCGGGAAGCTGAGGCAGGAGAATCGCTTCAACCGGGGAGGCTGAGACTGCACCATTGTACTCCAGTCTGGGCAACAAGAGCAAAACTCCGTCTCAAAAAAAAAGGAAAAGAAGAGAAAAGACAGGGCTACGGTCACTTGAACCTGTGTCTGCCCAATCTGTGGACAGTCCTTCTTCATCCCAGGACCAGCTTGTATTTCCATTTCCATAACGATCTGGAACTAAACCTGGTTACGAGACATTTGAAAGGGTAGCTTTAAACCCAAGTTCTGGCCAGGTGCAGTGGCTCACACCTGTAATCCCAACACTTTAGGAGACTGAGGGTGGACCAGTTTGGACAATATAGCGAGACCCTGGCTCTACAAAAAAGTTTTTAAAAATTAGCCAGACACAGTGGCACACATCTATAGTCCCAGCTACTCGGGAGACTGAGGCCAGGGGATTGCTTGAGCACAGTTTGAGGCTCCAGTGAGCTGTGATCATGCCAGTGCACTCCAGCTTGGGTAACAGAGCGAGACCCTGTCTCAAAGATAAAAATAAAAAATATATACAAGTTGAGCCGCGGGCGAGAGCGGCCGAGTCCCCGCCCCCGCCACTTCCGGTCCCGCCGCCGGGAGCCGGTGCCGCTGTGAGGGACAGCATCTCGCAGCAGCCTCCCCGGCCGGGCGTGGTATTCGGCGCCCGGCCTGCCTCACCTGTCTCGGGGAGCCCAGGGTAAAGGCAGCAGTAATGCTAACGCTAGCAGCAAACTGAAACGTGACGATGGTCTCAAATGGTCCCGGATGGCAGCCACAGCATCCGGCTCCACTCGGAAGGTTTCTGCAAGAGACAAATTGCTTGTTAAAGAGGTTGCAGAACTTGAAGCTAATTTACCTTGTACATGTAAAGTGCATTTTCCTGATCCAAACAAGCTTCATTGTTTCCAGCTAACAGTAACCCCAGAAGAGAGTTACTACCAGGGTGGAAAATTTCAGTTTGAAAATGCGTACAACATGGTGCCTCCCAAAGTGAAATGCCTGACCAAGATCTGGTACTCCAGCATCACAGAGACAGGGGAAATACGTCTGAGTTTACTGAGAGTACATTCGATTGACGGCACTGGCTAGGCTCCCACAAGAACATTAAAGGATGTTGTTTGGGGATTAAACTCTGTGTTTACTGATCTTTTGAATTTTGATGATCCACTGAGTATTGAAGCTGCAGAACATCATTTGCAGGACAAGAAGG